TTGATGATTCTGCTGGTCTTCTTCTTCAAGGAGAGCAGAGGGTCGGTGCTGCTGTCGAGGAAGGCCAAGGTGCTGAACAAGTGGTATGAGCAGTTGGAGCAGGCCGGGTACTACGGAGTCTGGCTGGACGAAGGGCGAACCACCTCGACACCGCCGCGGGAAGACGGCAGCGACTCGGACCAGACAATCTCGGGTCAATCAACAGCAGTCGAGGGCATAGAGGCGCACGACGAAGAAAAGGCGTCATTACCGGACCTGTCCAGACCGCCATCTCCCTCCTCCGCCTCCGGGACACGCCTCCATCGCATCCGCTGGGTTACGAAAGACGACGAGGAACGTTCGTCTCTTGGCAAGATGATCTCCGTGTCCCTCTATCGACCTTTCCACCTTCTGTTTACCGAACCCGTCGTCTTTTTCTTCTCCTTGTGGGTGGCTTTTGCCTGGGGCGTGCTATACCTCACCTTCGGATCCATCCCGCTCGTCTTTGCGCGCCAACACGGCTGGGATATGGAGCACGCCGGTCGTGTCTTTGCCGCCATCATGGTCGGGGGTGTCTTGGGTACGGTGATAGGCGTATGGCAGGAGCATGTCCTCCACCATCCGAAATGGCAGCCTGACGTAGATCCTTCGGAGACCTCGTTTTTTTGGACCTTCCTTCGTACTCGCTTTCCGGCGCGTGTACCCGAGGCACGACTTTACTGCACATGCATAGTGGCGACACTCTTGCCAATCGGACTGTTCATCTTTGGCTTTACCTCCAAGAGGGACATACACTGGATTGCGCCAACGATTGGCATCTGCTTGGCCACTATCGGTATCTACAGCGTCTACTTGGCCACGTTCAACTACCTGGCCGACACATACCACAAGTATGCGTCATCCGCACTGGCCGCGCAGTCGTGCTGTCGGAACCTACTCGGTGGTGCGTTCCCGCTCGTCACGACGCCATTGTTCACCAATCTTGGGGAGGCGAGGGCTGGCGCGCTGCTGGGAGGGATCGCGGTGGGCTTGACCATGGTGCCATGGGCCTTGGTGTTCTTTGGGGAGAGGATCAGAGCAAGAAGCCGGTTTGCCAGCGAGTTGTCGCATTCATGAAATTAAACATGGTAGTTAAAGTTCACGTCTTGACAGCCATCGACATAATACAACGGGACACGAACGAGGCTTAATGAACCTGTCTCTTAATGATGATTCGGCGCAGGTTCCACTTTATGGTGATCTTACGCCCTCCTCGCTGTTTGGGATCCAGATTACTGACACCTGTCAACGATGTTTAGTCTAGACACTATCAGCCTTTTGTCAGATGTAGAATCGTGTCTTCTCCTCGCGCTACACAAGCAGCAAGCTAGCCTCATGTCTAGACCGCCTCAACATTCAAGGTGACAGGTGTACAACCACTCATCACATTCTTGCCCACGAACAAGGCCTGTACCGCTTGCTCGCCACTAGTCGGCACCCAAGTACAAGTCATGAACACCAAAGCACCACTCCAGTCATTGGTAGCTGTAGTCCCGTGTGACGTCAGCTTCAAGCCTCCTGGCACATCCTCCGAAGCCGCCAGGCCCCAGTAATAGAACCCAAATGACTCCCCAAAGTTATTGTTGACGTAGCTTTCCGTGTTAAATGGCACGATCACAGCACTAACGGAAGACGTTAACCAATAACCCCAAGCATAGAAGGCAACATAGGTCGCGTCGGAATGTCTGTAGGCTAGGCGTCTGTTGCCGTAGTAGTTGTCCCAGTGGAAGGGCACTCGGTCGGCGACCGTGGCTCCAAGGAAGAGAACACTGCCGACCGCGGTGCCCGTTTCGCCGTAGTACAATTTGCTACCTGTGGCAGGATCAAGAGAATAGAGGGCAAAGGAGGTGGGTGAGGGTATAGTGACATGGGCGGTCGTGGTGCTGGCTAAGGAAGTGGTGGTCGTCGTCGTGGCCGATGTTGTTTCTTGAACCGTCTCTGTGAGGCTGATGGTCGTTACGACCGTCTGAGTCGTTGACGAGGTTTGAGTTACCACGGAAGCAGTCGGTGTAGTCATGTGTACATCTATGGGAATGGTAAGGCAGCCGCACGCAGATGAGATGCGAGAGGCGTCGTAGGAGGACAGCACCGTTTCCGACAAGGGACCCTTGATGGAGCGCTCTTTTAGGGGTACAGCGTACTGAGTCTCGGTCAGAGTCAAGGTCTGGGTGACTGTAGCAACAGAGACAGTGGTTTGTGTGTCTGTGACGGTCGTGGGGATGGTCTGCGTGCTTGTCACGGTTTGTGTCCCTGTGTCGATGCTGATACAAAGTAAGACACTGTGCTCAACAACGGGAAAATGACGAGTACTGGTGCCCTTACACAGTAGTTATCACGGTACTAGCAGTCAATGTCGAGCCTGGAAGCATGAGATACGAGCTGCAGAAAGGCAGAGCCTGTGGGAGGTTGCTTGGGGTCCTGAGGAGACGCAAGAGGTTGTCTGCGTTGCACGACCCGCGCTCTTCCACCACAGCCCTGGCGGCCAAGATGCTCGCACCGGCTTCCTTCGAGTGACTGGCCGGAAGGGCAGTCACGAGAGAGGCAGCCAGGACGAAGGCCGGAAGACCAAAATGATGTTTCATGTTTCTTCCTCAAGTAGTCGTCGTAGGTCGCGACGGCGGCGTTCTGGGAGTGATAAAGACTAACGCGAACTAATTGACATGGCGAAGCAAACCTTTTTCCTACATCTTGCACAAATAATTCTTTTGGAAGCTCAAGCTCAACCCAGTCGAGGAGTCCTGTTCCGCTAACAGTATTTGTGGCCATTCGGATCTAGTCGTCAATAGTTCTCCGTTCTATCGATGGTCTAGACCGAATCAGTCTTTGGCTACGTACGATGGAGCTAGGGAACTTTGACTTATCAACTCTCAGCTCCGGCCCTACCCCACAAACAAGATGGACCAACGCCATTGCCTCCAAAGAAATAGCGATCGTGACATCGTGGCATCGTGACCCTGCGAGATAAAGCATCTCCTTGCCTACCTATCATACGCACCTATTACACTCGAGCCGAGTTACTGGCGATCGCCGAGAGACCATACTAATCAGACTCACCATAACGCTACTACTAGTCCACATCATCCTCATTCGTTTCAACCTTGTCGTCAACTTCGACAGTCGACAGGTTCCTCCTGGCCTGCTCCAGCACCTTCTCCTCATCGAAAGACTCGGCGTCATCACCATCGTCTTGCGCGATATGACCGGACGCCTTCTTGGCGGCTTCGAGAGCTTCGGGCTTGATCGAACCATCCTCGTTGACATCCTCCTTGAGATACAGCGTGAAGAGGACGACAAGGTAGACCTGACCGGTGACCCGGTTCCTCAGGACGTATCTGAGCGTGTGTGAGCGCTTACGATCTTCTGGTCTACGTGATATGACGGAAAAGAGATGAAATACTTGTCTTGGAACAAGAGGAAGAGAGTCGCCCCACTGTGTGTCAAGAACGTAGAGGCCCACGCTCATTACTTGCGAGCAGGATCGCAACAGGGAAGGAGAAGGGAATATGCTGAGGGATCTCGGGGAAACACTTACCGTAAGCCCTGACCATCCCAATACTTTATAATCGGCAGCGTAAATCCCGGCAACCTCAGGGCAAAGTCGGAGAAATCCAAGTATGGGTTGAAGAAGTCGACGCCGTATGTTTTGCCGTACTTCCACACCCAGTGCTCCTTGCTCTCTTTTTTGAGTGCCCACTTCATCCGCGCCTTCGCATCGCTAGGCGCACCAATCTCCTGTCTCTCCTCCAGTCCGTGGTCGTCACCGCCTTCTTCGAACCACAGCCCACCCTTCTCCTCGTCAAACTCGCCCTTGCCAGAGTGCACCACGTTGAAGCTGCTTAGTGCTGGTCCGTAGAGGTAGGGTGAGTCTGCGTAGGCGTCACCGTCGAGACCGGGGTCGATCCACCAGCGCACGATGTTCAGTGCCGTGTTGAAGCCTGGCGGGAGGCGGTCGCGGATCGGGTGGTCAAAGTCGTTGCCGAACTGAAGATCCGTGGCTTTGATGCCTTCGCTGTCCGTGCCTGAAGGCTTTTTCGGAGTGAACCGGAAGGCAATGCTATACTGGTCCTTGTTGTAGTCATGTGGAGGCGTGGAGAAATACGGCGAGGTGTTGGACGATCCCTTGGGCAGGCCTTTGTAGTTCTGGATGCGGACGTTGAGCTCAATATCCGCGAGCTCGTTGCTGATCTTGAGTGGTGTGCTGTTGTTGATGGGCACTTCTACTTGGTCGTTCATGTCATAGCTCGTCCCCGCCGTTACGCGCATAAAGTACCTGTCCGCCATACTTGCTATTGACCTTTCGAATTTGTGTTCGGTGTAGATGTAGGGCGGTGTACTTATTTGAGGTTAAGCGATCTGGAGGATACTGAGAGATCACTCGGAAGGTCTAGCATGCGAAGAGAAAGCGCCTCTCAAACAAACACAGCGATATCAAGGTCGTCATTTTCCATGCCCCGTTTCACATGTGAACCTGTGTTAACAAGGACCTTAATGTGTAAGGGCTGTGAATGACGTCGGTGGCCAAGCGATCCAGGGCAGGCCGTTGATTCGTTGATTTGCCGGAGCCGTTACAGAGCTCCTACAGGTACCCGTAGTCAGGTTATACTAACTTACCCTATATGATTATATCCCTGTTCCAGCGGTCAACGCTGACGAGCCCGAACAACGTGCTCAAATAACTGTAGACATGATGCTCCGAAGGTAAGAATTCAGTTATTACATCACAGCGATCGAGTAGATTCTGGCTCTGTACTAGTAAGCTTAGTTGATGGCATTCGGCTGGGTCTATTCTCCTCGGTAGGTAAGATGGTACGTAGTTCGTCGTGCTGGCCGGCCTACCGTTTATACGGGATGACTGAAGACACAAGAATGGGCCATACACAGTCGAAGTTTGGCTACACAAGGGTGGCTCTCGAACATCCAGGACCATCGAAAGCCGTAGGGGAATCATAGCCAAAAGATATTACGTAGTGGGAGCAAAACTGTGGACACTCGGGGAATTGAACCCCGGACCTTCTCTAATAAAGCACAAGTTTAGTGCGAAAGAGAAATCATACCCCTAGACCAAGCGCCCATATCTTCATGTGTTTGCAAGTATACACACACCAGCTTCTTCCAGTGCACGTTAATGCAGAGACCAACCAAATAACGAACCGTACAGGTAGTCAGAAAATGGACCAAGCATGAGGATGTTCGACCTCAGCTTTTCACTGATCATCTCACGCATCTGCTAAGCCCTGCGCTTTGCTCGGCACACCCCAACCTAGGCTTGTCGCAGCGGCTAAGGTGGAGCTCTGCCACATGAGACAACCTGGAAACCCGAAACCGGGAAGTCAACTTTGTTGGGACGACTCGTGGCAGACATGGCTCTTGGAATCCTGGGATCGCTGAATCTGTTCAAGACACAATGTCTCTTTTCTAGGCTACCTGACTACTCTTCAACGACAAATAACCACCATGTTGGACCATTCGCCTGCCAACTGGATTGCAATCAGGACAAGCATCCTCCTCCTTCAGCACGCACCACTTATTGAGCTTGTCATTCTCACCACCATCGTTGTTACCAGAACTATTGGTCTTCTACCGTTGTCACGCATTACATATTTGTCTTGGACTTACGGTCTCGCCTTCCTGGTGGTATCGGAGCTTGTATTCTACATATTCCTCTACCGCCGACATCTGCATCGAATCAAGGATGACGCCGAGCATCCCGCACCCTTAACCCGGACCCAACGGGAGGAGCTCTTCGAGACGTGCATGGTTAATATCCCAGATGCAGAAGAGTACCTGCGCCAGTGGTTTCTCGGTGCTCCCTTGGGAGACATTGGGCGGGACAATGTCCGGGAGTTCATCCTCTGGGCCTTCTTTGACCGTCATGACGCGACTGACGGCAAAAGACCGATCCAGGGCCCGGGCCCGGAGGATGGCGACGTGACTGATGAACTGGAGAGCTACATCGCTCGTACCGAAGAGCTTCTCGGGCGGCAATTTAGACCCGGTCGTGGGCCGGCGACATGTCTGCGATTGACGCTAGATGCGGTCGAACAAAAGCGCCGAAGTCTGCTGTGGTATGTCATCGTGGCCGGCATCGACCTCACCACCCACATTTGTCTCACCCGAGACGGGTATCGATACTACGGCCAACCGTTGCGCAAAACTCTTGCCGTCTTCCCACTTCGATTCCAGGCTGTAACGACACTGCTTCCCTTCCCTGGGGCGAGGAGGTACCAATCTCCGTCCGGAGAGATGGGCTACTGGTTCCGGCCGCATACGGCGAAGAACACCCGGCCCGTGGTCTTCCTCCATGGTATCGGCGTCGGATTATGGCCCTATACGCGTTTCTTGGATGAAATCGGTCGGCCGACAAAGACCAAGACCGGCTCCAGGGAAGCGGATGAAGGCCAAATTGGCGTGATAGCCTTGGAAATCCTTCCCATTTCCACTCGTTTGACCGCCCCTCCTATGAGGCGGGAAGCATTCCTGTCCGCGTTGCAAGCCATACTCTCTGCCCATGCCCGTGATTGGGGAGATGACGGGTTTGTCTTGGTCTCACACTCCTACGGATCGGTCCTGACTACGCATGCCGTTCGCAGCCCAGAACTGGGCCCACAGATACGCGGCATGGTGCTCATCGACCCGGTTAGCCTGCTTCTTCACTTACCCGGCGTCGCATACAACTTTACCCGAAGACCACCGCGAACGGCCAATGAGTGGCAGTTATGGTTCTTTGCTAGCATGGACGTTGGCGTAGCGGAAGGGTTGGGCAGGCACTTTTTCTGGAGAGAAAACGAAGTCTGGAAGGAGGAGTTGGTTGGTCAAGGTTCCGGTGCGCTAGAGAATGGAAAGAGAAAGGTTGCCGTCTGCCTCGGGGGCCGAGACCTGATTGTCGACACGCACACGGTGGCCAAGTACTTGGCTAGGCGGGGAGACATACGGAAATCGGACAAGCCGGAAGAGGATGCAGTAGAGGCCTTGTACGGAAGACGTCCGAGGAAGGCATTGGTGACTCCAAAGAGGCAGCAATGCAAGAAATACCTTGCTCCCTTGGGGATCGAGATCCTATGGTTTCCCGCGCTCGATCACGCCCAGGTCTTTGACTCGCAGGAAGACCGAGAGCAAGTCCTGGCTGTCATCCGAGATTACTGCACCAAATAGAGCATGGTCTCATGGACAGTCACTTGATGACGCATTGTTTCCTTTTTTACAAACGTTACTCGTTTCTCCCTTTGACTTCGGCTCCGTTCCAGTCTGTGAGAGTCACCTCCACTGGTGAAGATCCGGCACGTGTAACAACCCAGACGAGGTCTTCTTCTTCTGAGCTGTTCAACGCCTGATGCTCCGTCCAAGCGGGAATGAAGGCGAAGTCGCCCTTACTGAGCTCATGCCGCTTCGGTTCTAGGCCCTCGTCGTCTGGGGTGGTGAGCAGGACACCATTCCCTGAAGCCACATAGACGATAGAATCTTGAGTAATGCCTAAGTCAGACTAGTCATTTCTTCTTGCGGTATGCGTATTCCGTGTGATATTCCATCATAAGAGAATGAGGCAGCTAGAAACAAACATACCTTGTTCCCCATTGTGGTGCACTGCCGAAGAGGAGTTGGGCTTGACTATTAGGACTGAATCCAGCTCGTACATGAGGTACACGAAAACAACGCCCGGTTCTGATGATGTCGACTCACCGCTGGCGCACATTTTGTCCGTTTTGTTGACAATGGCATCCTTACGAATCACGCGTGGCCCAACGGCGGTATCGGGGGCAATATCACCCCCTCCGGCCGGCGCCCTTGCACTTGTAGTTGTCGGAGGATCAAGCTCGCTTGCCTTTGCGATGTGGATAGACGAAGGTAAGATCATGGGCAAGATGTCCTGGATCAAGGGTAGTAGAGACGCCATGCTCATGCAAGGTACGGGTGTCAAGCTAGAAGGTTGCACGACGGGGCCATCCCCTCTTAGTCGGTGTGCTCGAACAGTTAGCTCCTTGCTTTTCTGTTTCTGGCTTTGTATTTCAGGTACGTTGGTAGATGCTGTACTGTAAATGCCCTTCCATGTTGTCATGCCTTTATGGCGGGAATTGGTGGATGGTTTTGTATCGTTGATTTATTCGACTTGATACAGCTTGTACCCCGTACCTGTGTATTACGTACCTGTGTATTAAGGCGAGGTCGGTGCGGAGCAGCCCGCTTCTTGGTAGGGTAGCGTGTCCGCTAGGTACCTCTAAGTACCTTAGTTTCAAGGTTCAAGCTCCAAGAACGCTGTCGATCCACTGCGCCAGGGTACTTGTCCTAGGCACCTCTCTGGTCGGGGCAACCTTCGGGACGCCGCTTGCATCGTCAACCTCGCCATCTCCAGTTGCAGTTGCAGTTGCTCTTGCTTCTATACCTCCTAGCCTACCATTATATTTTAGCGCATAAACAGTAACACCGGTTCAGAGAAGATCATGGCTTTTCTGATGGCGTTCCGGTCTTGAGGTTTAATCATTCTGCCCCACATTGAGCTCCAGCTTCCCGCATCTCACCATCGTGACCTTATTCCAATCCACCTATGAAGCGCGCATGACCGAAGATAGGCACGTCTCGGACAGGCGTCGGGTCAGGATAGAGACGATGGGCAAAGACGATGGGCAAGAAGTGGACAATCCACTACCTAGCAAAATAAGTAGTACCAGCGATAAGGGCGACATGGCGGATATGAGCAGGGACAATGGCTGCGGCGCCTCAACCAAGGGAAAAGGCAGGGCTGGAGGTAGCGTTCAGTGCCGTGTTGAGTGTTTCAGTGTTGAATAGTAGCTGACAATTCGTGCCGGGGCAGATGAGAATGACAGGAAGTCCACGAGCGACTCCCACCTGCTGTCTCTCCCTCCCGAACTGATCGATTCTATCCTGTTCCTCCTTTCTCCGCTCGATCTCGCGGCCGTCTCCTCTACGTGCCGCTATTTATACAAGATGGCCACCGGGGACATATTCTGGCGCAAGTTAGTACAGGACAATGTCCCGGGCGTCACGGTCAAGGACCCTTATCCATGTGCCAGCTTCCGTGAGCTCTACATCGCCCACGAGTTGCGCTGGTTTCTCCCGAAGTATAAGATATGGTTTTGCAACCATGAATTGACTGGAAAACTACTGGTAGCTCGCTATGATCCTCGAACCGGCAATATCGAGGCATACCAACTGGTGGCCGTGAGTGGACCCCCGACCATCTACCCCTGGCCTGACGATGAGGACATCTTGGTCCAGCAGTTTAACCCCAAGGTCAAGCTGCACCTCGACCGACCTATTGTTCGGCTTCCTGTCCATCATCGTTGGTCAGAAGGCCACGATGGGCATAGTGGGCTCTCCATAGCACGCATCCCCTTGCACAATGAAGGCAACTGGTATGCAGGTTCTATCGAAGATGATGAGGATGCCGAGGGTCGAGACCGTGAAAGCAGAGACATTCTACCCCCGCCTACCGCAAATCGATTCTCCGCCAAGATGCCCATGAACGTGGCAGGATTTCAGGACACCGTATACACCAACTTCCTGTTTGCACGACGGATTGCTGATCCAAGATTGGGGGGACGGACCAGGTTCCCTTTCAGTGAAGAACCGGGAGCTGGATTGTGGCCTCCTTGGAACATTCCCGCTCGACAACGAGTTAGTATCCACCATCGCGGCCGGCCTGCGTCGCGAGCCGAAGTCAGCGACCAAGCATTCCATATTGATATGGGTATCAACTACCCGGTCTGGGATCTCAACCTGCAGCCCTTGGGTGACCAACTTATCACCTATGCGACGCTGGATCCCGAGCTGTACACACCTACCGAGCGGTTTCCCTACCGTGGTATTTGGGTGGGAGATTATAGTGCACATGGTTGCGAGTTTCTCCTGATCCACCAGGAAGACAATCCCAACGACGATTTCGATCCAGACGCCATTATCAAGCACGACGACGAGACGGCCGAGGAGTTTGCGAAGCGCAAGTGGGAGAAGACTGTCTACCGCGGGCGATTGGAGGCCATCAAACTCACCGGAGATCCCAACGTACCGCGAGGGGAACACTCCTTCATTGCCGATGATCTAGGGGAGGACGGATAC